AAGTGACATGCCAAAAAAAAAAAAAAAACAACTATAAAAAGTGTTGTTCTCCAACAAAGAGAAATAGATCTACAGTTTCTAACTTAAAAAAAAAAAAAAAAAAGAAGTGACATGCCATGCTTTCTACTGCAACACTTAAGGGCCTTTTCCCCCTTCTTGGGAAAACAAGATAGAAGAGGATCTTCCAAAAGCTACAATTCTACTCTTTCAGGAAAATGAAAACTTTTAACTTTTAACAAGCTTACCCTTGTTTCTAATTTACCAAGGTGTCAATTCATAAAGACACACTCAGACATGGCCTTTGCTTGCATTTGACACACAAAAGCGTTGCCTTTTCAGAAGGGTCAGCACAATGTCATGGTTACCCTGCTAGACCTTAAAAGGGTGGGCGAGCATGAATGAGTCCAGTTGTTCTGAAGTTCCTAGAAATGAAACTGATATGTTGAACTAGATTATCACTTCTTAGGGTGTTAGGTTTCAGGTTTCAAGAATGAATGGTGAAAGGATAAGCAAACAGAAACAGAAGGCACCTTCCAGGGGTACTTTGGTTCACTGCTGTATCCCCAGATTCTAGTCTAGAGTACTGAATAAATATACTTGTGAAGCGAAACTCTGGATTTGAATCTTCATTCTGCCCCTTCCTAGCTGTGAGACTTTGGATCAATGACCTAAATCATCTTGAAGCGTTGATGGATGATGACAAAAGCATGTATTCCATAAAGCCCTGTATACTGGATGCTTATTTCTTTCAGCCTATAGAGGCCAAAGGAAATGAAATTGAAACAAGATGCTGAAAAGCAGGTATCACTATCATTTCAAAAGGAGACTGCTCCATAGAAGGCATTTCGCTTTAAGGCTTTCTGAGAGGACCTAGACTATTCATGAAAGAACTTCTAGAGACCAACTTTGAGAGTCATCCGAAGCTGTTATTTATGTGGTGTTGCTCTAACCTGAGTATTTTCAAAATGAACAATTGAAGCCAATTTCATATATTTGTATCTGAGGATACGAAAATGGAACAATAAATGAAAAAGGTGCATGTTTTCAAAACCATTTTGTCCTAACTTGTTCTGATGAGTGCAAACATAAAGTCATAAAATATACAAAGGTAGTTTTTACCTTTTTTTGGCCACAGATCCTTTAAGAATCTTATGAATGCTAGAGAACCTCTTCCCAGGAAAATAAGTGTGCACACATGTGCACACACACACAGCACATGGCACACACACATACATGCCAACAGACACACACACACACACATATTTTGAGGCAACAGAGTATTCCCAACTCCTCCCAGTTTATCTATAAATCAAGAAGTTAGGAATTACTGAACTTAAGTGTTTGGGTTTACATGGAGATAGATGTAGAATATACATATATATTTTTACATCTATCACATATATGCAAATATTTAATGACTATTTGAATAATTCTTAAATCTTGTACGGCATGCAGGTCCCTCCTCACTCCGATATATGAAATCACTAGTGACCAAATTCTAGGAAACGGGTAAGCTTGCGTTCTGACCTGACAGATGTTCCTACCGTGTTCTGCAAACCCCTATTTACCTGAAGTAGTTTTACAACTTCTATGTGTATATAGCAGGGTAGAATTTAATATAACAACTTGGCTCAGTGGGTATTGTAGACAGTTTCTAGTGGAGCCTGTGTCTTGGAGACTAAGGTGATCAGCCAAGGAGTTCACTCATCTCTTAATCTAACAGCATAAACTTTAGCAATGTTCTTTTCACCATCGCTAGGTCCCATTCTCAGCCAGGGTCTGCCTGTCCCAGGAAACACAGTATTCCCGCAAAGGCAGAAATGACATATCTTTGTAGTGGCTACCCTGATCTTTGTGATGAGTGATTTTTACCACGAGTGTATTTTACAGTTCAGCTAATAGCTTCATAGGGATTACATAAGCATTTTATATTAACAATAGAGAAGACACAGCTCACGCTTCAAATTGAGAAAAACACTTGACAGCAACACTTGCTATAGTATTTGCTAACCTATGAATTTTCCTATTCTAATTGAGCTTTAGGAAAGAAAAAGGAACCAGGAAAAGAGATGTAAGGCCTAAAGGAACTTTGAATTTCAGGACTTAAACTAAGTTAAGATATGTTTAGGGGCGCCTGGGGTTGTGAGTTTGAGCCCCACGTTGGGCATAGAAATTACTTAAAAATGAAATCTTTAAAAAAAAAAGGTTATGATATGTTTCCTTTAAAGTGCCCAGATTAATGATTAACAATAGATATTCATATGCAAATTTATCCATTCAGTAAAAACCATGAATTTCAATAAGTAAAGGCCTAAGACAACCAAGAGTTTCCTTTTTTTGTCCTTCAGCAACCTGACATTTCATTCCTCCTAGCAATTTTCAGCTGGGCAATTACTTTAGTTTTTGACTGTGTTTATTTCTGAATTTATGGGTGGAGGGCACCCACAAATGGCCAAATTCTCTTTCCAATTGCAAAGGTACTGGCATTTTATTTACATAGTCCACATTTCAGTTTTGTTTTCTATGCCATCACTGAAAAATGGATCATTTCTCTTTCCCTTTTTCCTCTGATCTCTGGTTTCATACCTATTCCCTGAAATTTTAAGTCTCTATGGTTTTTAGAAGAGTTGTGGGGTCTTAATTCTGCAGGTTCTCAAACTGTTCTCCCTCAAGTCTGGTACCATGTTGCCTTCACCTGCCTTCGCCCGCCCATCCCTCCTTCTGGCGGCAATGTTAAGGCTCATGGTTGTGATAACCATTGAATGTGGCTTATGTGGAAACTGCCTCGGGTAGGCTCGGGAAATCTCAGTGACCTTCTGCAGGGCCACAGTGGGAGATGGAGCCTTCTAGACAAAGACGCTGAAGAGAGGGAACTCGGCCTGATTGGGCTGCAGCAGATCGATCAGAAAGCACACCGTCCCGGAGAAGCCTTCATACAAGCTGTATATACTTTCAAGGACCCGAGAGCCGGCCTTGAATTCCTCCGTAAATAAAAACTCAGCAAACCTAAGAGAAGAAAATAACATATGAACACGGGAGTGTTTCCATATTATTGGCCTTCAGTTGCTTCTTCCTCCTCTCTGCTAAGGTAAAGTTCTAGCACCATTTTCTTTGCAGAACTATATAATATTTTAAGAAAACCTTTTTCTCTGTTTAAAAAAAAAGAAAAGAGGATCTGTTATATAATTGTGTATGTTTCACAACAAATTGTGTTGACAAGCAAATTCAACTATTGTCAGAGTTTGCAAAGCAAAGCAGTTTGGTATTTTCTGTGGATTTCATTCCTTCTGTCATCCAATAATTAAAAGTAAAAGAGACAGATAAATAACCATATTTTTCTTTATCTGGAATAGAAGCAAGCTGAGGTATGACTGTTCCTTTAAAAGAGTAAATATGCTGTGATTCTGCAGGCATATCATTTCTGAGCTAGGTTTCATTTATATGTGACAGAGAGCAGAGACTGTGAAAATAAATGGGCAAGATTTTATACAACCTGTGCTTTGGGCAAACATAGGAATAAGATGAATGGGAAAAGGCAAGCAACATTTTATAATCATGACATCAAATAGCAAACTCAGCTCTAAGATAGATTATTTTTAGGACATCTGCCTTAAAAATACATCACTAGCCCCTAGATTCTCGATGAAAGATCCTTTTTCTTCTACGTGTATTTGCCACAAATCCTATTCAAATTGTTGATAGTGAGTAACACTGTAGTAGTTTACAGCTTTGAAAGTGCTGTGATCTGTGTTATCTCTTTTCGGACCTGCTGACACAATCACCAATTCAGAGGAACTCACGGGTTGGTAAGGCCTGAGAACTGATACTGCCATAAATTTAGATTATTGCTACTATGTGTGTGTGTGTGGGGGGGGTCCTATGAAGAGTAATTACTTATTTGATCTTTTTAGGGCTCTTGGAATTATCAACAGCAGCTTAAAATAAGTCAGCAGGAAACATACTGCAATTCTGTTTGGTACAATTTTTTTATCAACTGTTTTCCTGAATATGCAACAATTTTTAAATGGAGTTAAAAATTTTAAACAGTATAATGATGATGCCTCTTAAAGAGTTAATTCAAAATTTGTCATTATGCAATGAAACTTCAAAGTATAGCTTCAAGGAGTCATAAACTTTACAGTGCCACGGATCATTTCGCGGTCTGGACTCCTCCCAGAAAAAAAAGTCTTCAAATACAGAAAATAAAATACACAGGATTCCCAAGGAAATTAATTATATCAAGGCACAGTTAGCAAAAGTTGTAAAACCCAATTTGTGAAATAATAATATACGGATTCCTTATTAACACATTAAAGAACAAGATCTAGTAGTGGGTCTAATAACTGCTGACATTTCTAAGTAGTTATGAGAGTCAAATATATTTCATAATATCTGCAACAAGAGCAATATGACGTGAGAATATCTATGACTTCTACTGGTGAGAGTCACAGCTACTGCTACTTCTCCTGTGGCTTATTACCTACAGTCAGAATTGAAGGTAATGCTCCATTTCAGTTTGAGATATAATACTTTTCTCAAGTAAATTCACAAGCCCTAGATTAAGAAGCTCTGGTAGAGCAGAAAGAGGAAGGGCTTTGGAGTTGAGATCCCCAATTCTAATAATTTCATGTTATATGACCTTTGGCAAATTTCTTTATCTGACTTTAAAATGGTGAAGTTGCAGAGTTGTGTAAGATTACCTGTAAAGATTAAAGATACCATATGTTAGGCTCTGAGCTTATGGCAAACATTTGATAAATGGTAAATATCGTTTTTCACATAAACATAGTGGAATGTTTATAAAACAGAGACTACCATTCTACCATTCTTGAAAAGAAACCCATAGTTAATTTTGCTCTTTCTCCTCCTGACCTTCCCCCCCCCAAGTTTTGATTTATTTAGCACATTATTGAAATTATAGTCTGTATAATATTAATATCCTACATTTTACTTAAAAGTAATATGATAAACATTTTTTGTGCTTTTCAAAATAATTTCTAAATGATATATAGCATTTTATAAGAGTACCAGCAATGTATGAGAGTAGCAGTTTCATTGTGTTCTGACCGGTATAGTTATCACATTCAAGTGAAAATGACCAATTGAATTTGAATTAAAAATAAATAAATAAATAAATAAATAAAGTGAAAATGACTGCTCCCAAAATCTACCCAGTGATGCAAATTTCAAGCCAACGAATTTATTTTTCTAAAAAATTCTGTCAAAATAGAAGTCAGAATGGTAATTCTAGAACTAAAAAGAATTACAGACACTGAGAACATTACATATCAAAACATATTGATTATGACAAGAATTGAACTCTGGAAAATCCATCCATCTGAGAATTTTATTACTGTTATTATCAGAAAGATGTAAGGTATTCTAATGAAATATTTTTTTTAACTGTAGAAAATAACAAAGGAAAGGAATACTAGAAAATCAAAAGGCAGAAAGTTTCTATGAATTAAGAAGCAAAAGAAACACAAAAAGAATCAATAAACAAAACCAAAAGCCAGTTCCTTGAAAGGATGAATGACATAGACAAAATGTTGGTATCTGACCAAAAACGAAAAGCATTAGGAATGCAAAAAGGCATATAATCACAGACATGGGAAATTTAAAATATCATGGAACTACACTGTTAAAGCTTTACATCAAACATTTGAAAATCCGTATGAACTAAATGTTTTTATAGAAATATATTCACTACCAAAATTATTTCAAGAAGAGGTAGAAACCCTGAATAATTAAATAATGATAGAAGAAACTGAAACCATTATCAACCATTTTTCTGCAACTATAAATTTCAACCAGTGACTAAGTAATGTTTATTACAAGAAGGTACATATTGTCTGACATTACTGTTTTAGGAACTGCCAAAATTAGGGAAGTTTCCCCAGTTTGGGCCATAGAATATTTAACTTTGAATTATAATGAAGTGAAAATTTCAGTACACTAAAGCAATTAAATGCAATGCCCCCCATATATTCAGATATGACCTGCACATTTTCAGGCTCTACCTGGAAGTGAGAAATGGAACCTGTCTGAAGGGCCCTGGATCCCAGAACCTCATAACTAAGAGAGTGTGTAATCTAGGACTGGTCTGCCAGAAAAATAGAGGGGTTGTTCTGGCTCTTTTGACTAGGCTTTCTAGGGCCTGACAATCTCTGATGAAACCAATCCCAAAGGTGATATCACATTAGTCTAGACAGAATCCAAAAGGACTTTCTTTTTCTACGTTTGGGAAATAAAGGGTCAGGCTGCAACCAAACAGATTAGGGAGCCATGAATCAAAATATGTTAACAGAATTCCTGAACAATGAAGCTTCAAATGGAGGACTGACATATATTAGTATTTTTCCTTCAGTGTCTACCGGCAAATGTCATAAAAGGTATTTATTTTATGTTTTTGGTGTTTTTTACACTGAATATTAGCTAAGTTGGTTTGGGAAGACCTTTCTGAGAAAATGACTTTAGAGTGAAGGTCTGAATGAAGTCAGGGGCCTAGGAGATACATGTAGAAAGTGAGCATTACAGGTGGGGTGGGGGGAAACAAAACAGTGAGGTAGGTTGCACCTGGCACCTTCAAAGAACCAAAAGGAAGCCACTGTGGTAGAAAGAACTAGGTGGAAAAGAGCAGATGATGATCTCACAGAGGTAATGGGAGGCAAGATCCTGTAGCACCTTTTGTGCAAAGGACAGACTTTGGCTTTTCCTGAGTCATATGGGAAGCCACTGGATTTTCCTGAACAGAGGAATGTCATGATCTGACATGATATACATCATAAGAAGCAAATTTCAAAGGTCAGGGTGAAACATAGAAGCATTCCTAATAAAATCATCATTACTATTGCTCATATTAATGAACATTTTTATGGAGATTCTGACCCATGCAATGGGGGAGGAGGGGGGAGAATACAAATGAGGAAGGAAGTAACAAAATTATAATTATTTGCAAATATGTCTGTCTAAACCCAATGGACTCTGATGAAAATCTAATAGAAACAGTAATGGAGTTCAGAAAGGTGGCCAGATATATCATTACATCTATCAAAACTAAGATGTTTATAAGATACAATGCAGATTTATATGAAAGAAGTGCATCTTAGATTGCTAAACTGCAATAATATGCATGTTTTATTTTTTTAAAATATTTTTATTTATTTATTTGACAGAGAGAGAGACCGCAAAAGAGGGAACACAAGCAGGGGGAGTGGTAGAGGGAGAAGCAGGCTTCCCGCAGAGCATGGAGCCCGATGCGGGGCTCGATTCCAGGACCCTGGGATCATGACCTGAGCCAAAGGCAGACGCTTAACGACTGAGCCACCCAGGCGCCCATATGCACGTTTTAAAAAGCTTTCGTAAATACCAGTAATAAATGACCTGAAAATACAGTGCAGGAAAAGATTCTACTCACAAACCTGGAAACATAAAATACCTAGGAATAAAATTAACTAGAAACATGCAAGACCTTCTTCATAAGATCAAAACCTTACCAAATGACATTTCTAAAAACTTAAATAAAGGGAAAACATACCACGTTCCTGGATAGATAAACAATATTTTTTTAAAAATTTTTTTTTTAAGATTTTATTTATTTGAGAGAGAGAGAATGAGAGACAGAGAGCATGAGAGGGAGGAGGGTCAGAGGGAGAAGCAGACTCCCTGCTGAGCAGGGAGCCCGATGTGGGACTCTGGGACTCGATCCCGGGACTCCAGGATCATGACCTGAGCCGAAGGCAGTTGCTTAACCAACTGAGCCACCCAGCCGCCTTAGAAAAACAATATTCTAAAGATTTTAATTCTCACTAAAGTAACCTATAAATTTATTGAAATTCCAATCAAATTGCCACAGAATATTTTTTAATCTGAAAATTGATTTTAAAATACAGTTGGAAGAATAAATGAGAGAAAATGAATAATAAAATATGGCAAGTCCAGAAACAAACATTTATATAAATTGTTTATGATAAATTTGACATTTCAAATCATTGGGGTAATTGGTCAACAGATATTACTGGAATGTTTCAGTTTTTTTCAATAAAAAACACAAAGATACCCAGATAACACCATTAAAAAAAGTAAGTTCTAGATTAGTCAAAGATTTGAAAGTTAAGATAACTTTTAAATGGGTGGGAGAAATGGGTGAAGGAGGTAAAAAATTTATTTTTTAAAAGTTAAAATCACAAAGGTACTAAAAGTCAATGTAAACTGATATTTTTGTAATCTTCGAGCAGGAAAGGTCTTTTTAAGTATAACACAAAATCCAGAAATCTTGAAAGTTTAACAAGAAAAATACTTAAAATTTTGGTCTGGCAAAAGACCTAAAGCTAAGTTGAAAGAGAAATGGCAAAGTAGGAGAATATTTACAGCATATATTGTAACAAAGAGTTACAATCCTCAAGATAAGCATCACAAGAGGATAAAAATGGGCAAACGATAAAGACAGGCTAGAAATACCCATGGGTCTAATGACTTCAATTCTAAAATTTCTGTGACAAGAAATGCTCGCACAGGCACACAGAAATGTATGTACTGGCTATCTGGGACAATTTTGCTTGTTATTTGTAAAGATCACACAGGTACCAAGTGTCCATTACTTAAAGATTGGTGAAATTAATCATGGTACATCTATAATGAATAACTATACAGTCATTTAAACAATGAGATAGATCTATATAAACTGAAATGAAGGATGTCCCTTAAAAATTGTTCATTTAAAATTATAAGCTGTATGGACCGCCGGGGTGGCTCAGTCGTTAAGCGTCTGCCTTCGGCTCAGGTCATGATCCCAGGGTCCTGGGATCAAGCCCCACATCGGGCTCCCTGCTCAGCGGGAAGCCTGCTTCTCCCTCTCCCACTCCCCCTGCTTGTGTTCCCTCTCTCGCTGTCTCTCTCTCTGTCAAATAAATAAATTTTTTTTTTTAAATTATAAGCTGTAAATGGCATGTAGAGTACTATTATATATACATAATAGTAGGATCTTATTAATATATATTACATAGTTATATATATACATAGATATATAAATATGCATTTATGCATAGAGAAATGTCTGGAGTGATAGAACTCTAATTTTTAGTAATAATAACAGTGAACACTTACTTACATTGCAGTTATTATGTGTCAGACACTGTTCTAAATGATAAATGAGGACACTATGCTAAGTGAAATAAGCCGGTTACAAAAAACAAATACTGTGTGGTAACACTTATATGAGGTATCTACAACAGCCAAACTCGTAGAAGCCAAGAATAGAATGGTGGTAGCCAGGCACTGGGGACAGAGGGGAAAATGGAAAGTTGTTGCTCAGTGGGTATAAAGTTTCAGCTATGCAAGGTGAATGAGTTCTAGAGATCTGCTGTACAACACTCCCTACAGCTAACACTTAAAAGTATGTTAAGAGGGGGGTGCCTGGGTGGCGCAGTCAGTTAAACGTTGGTCTCTTGGTTTCAGCTCAGGTCATGATCTCGGGGTTGTGGGATTGAGCCCCTCATGGGGCTCCACACTCAGGGCAGAGTGTGCTTGAGATTCTCTCTCCCTCTCCCTCTGCCCCTCCTGCTCGTGCTGTCTCTCTCTCTCTCTCTCTCAGATAAATAAATAAATCTTTAAAGAAAATATGTTAAGAGGACAGATGTCATGTGAAATGTTCTTACCACAATTAAAAAATAATCTCAAATATACATACCCTTTGGCCCAGCAATTCCACTTCTAGGGCTTTATCTTTCAGATATACCCATACATGTGCAAACAATACATATATATAAGGTTATTCATGATAGCATTACTCGTAATGCAAAATATTGGAAATAATGCCCATATCCCTCTACATGGGACCTAGTAACTAAACTCTGGTTCATTCATGCAATGTAATACCATGCAACAGTAAAAATTAAGAGTTGCTTATGTACTGATTTAGGGTGATTGCTAAGAGAGCAAGGTGCTACCACTTGTATAAAACAAAGAGGGATGAAACTTTATATACACAGTATCTGAGAAGATAACTAAGAAACTGGTAACACTGTCACCTGGAAAGAGAAGCAAATTGCTAGAGTGCACAGATGATGTGATGCATCTCTTTTTTCACTTTTCAAACTATGTGACTCTATTACCTATTCAGAACATGAATTCGATGAACGTTTAGGGAAAAAAAAAACCACGCCCAGATCAGCTGACCTTTGGGCTCGGTAGATGTACTTCGAGTTTCCGGTGAGGCGGTATAGCAGCAGGAAGACATAAGCACTGCCGGCGACACCGTGGCAAATCCCCGGCCCCTTCTTCAGCAGGCCCTTCTGCCACGTAAGTTCCCCACACCGGATACACGTGTCCAGGTACTGCGGTTTTTTGGAAACCAGATAAGCTTTGGCAAACAGATAGGCAATTCCTGTGAAAACATCAAAGACATCAGAGGTGACTTTGGGGCTTTATGCTATGGAGCAGAACTTCTCCAACTGTAAAAGGCTCACACATCACCGGTGTAGAACACCCATTCTAATCTGGTAGGTCTGAGATTCGGCATTTCTACCAAGTGCCCTTCTGGGAACCACGTTCTAGGAGCAGCGCTATAGAATCTTCCTGTCTTATGTTACCTGTGAGATTTAGTTGTTTGAATTGTATTGTGATATTGGCCCCTGGAGAAAGAGCAACAAGTACAAAGAGTGATACAATCCATAATTTACAAATGGGTTAATATTTAACGATGCATACTCTGGTAAGCATTATGCATATCTGGCTATTTGAAATGGCTAAGTGTTTATACGGCCTGCCCATTCCCCCACAGAGGTTCAGAATTTGTAATGTTAAAGTGCTTATAACTATACACCTTTTCTTAAGGCAAAACTGGGAGTCCTTCCAGAAACAACAATGATCCCAAACGACCTGGCCAAGACTTCTACTCCAGCTGTGAAGCGAGTCCTTCCCTACTCGATTGTTCTAAAGGAAGACAGTTTCCTTCCAAACTCCTCAACAGAGGCAATCTCAATTACACAGGCAGGAACAGAAACAAGAAAAGCGACAGCTATTAATGGAAATGATTTCCCCCAAGTTCCAGGTGCTCATATTCGGAGAGGAGATTAGTAACACAAGATCCCTCTCTCTCCTGCACGGCCTCTAACTCTCTCCTACATGAAGTGGGAAAGATTGGAATTTAGCAGGTTACGCGACTAGCTCGTCCATCAGGGTTATCTCTGCCTTTCACTGTCTTTTGACCAGGCTATTTTACAACTCCGTGGAGACAGAAATTACCTTGTAGACAACTGAGAGTAATGTAAATAATTCCTATTCCTAGAAAATCACATACTGTCTGGGAGAGATTGTTTTGACTTCCCTTGGCCTTTGTGGAAGCAGCCAGTTTTGCATCTATTAAGCAAATTCATGTCAGCTCTCCTAATGGCCCATAAATATGCCTGCTCCTGGAATTTTCCTTTGAAACCAGCTGTAACACCTTTCCGGTTCCCTCATTAATTAATGAGCTAAATAAAATTGTTGACCCACGTTTATTTTATATTTGTATGAGTCATGATTTTAGTCTCTTTTAGAATTGATCCTCTAACAGTTCCTATGATTAACACATAACAACAGGTCCTCAGCCAAGGCTTTCCAGTCAACCACTGACAATGGTCACCCATAGCCTATTGTCCTTCTTCACTTCTAGGAACAAAGTGTCTTCCACAAGCTAAAAGAAGATTTTAAAAGAATTGAACTTATTTACACATTTATTCATTCACTGTATCCATTCTGTCGTAAGTGATCGTTGGTTACTGTATACGTGGCCCTAGGCAGGGCTTGCTTCATGGGCATGTGACCTGTACAGTCTCCAAGGGTCTCCAGAAGGACCTCATGCTGGGTTTAATACTCTGCTGTTACCATCTTGAAATTAATAATCAATTTTTTAAAGAAGGCTGCCTTTTCACTTTGTGCTGGGCCCCCCAAATTATGTAGCCAGTCTTGGCCTTAGGTTATACGAAATAAATGCTAAACAAGATTCCTGACCTTCAGGAAGGTACTGTCTAGAAAGGGAGAGAAAAATTTGTACATGTGACTGATATACATCATAGGACATGGAGTTCCTGATGCTGTTGGAGCATAAAATGAATGACGCTGTCAATAACCCTAGAGGGATCAAAAAAGTGGAAGTTCCCTGAGGGAGACAGTTGGGTGAGGCCTAGGATAGAAGTAGGGCTTTCTTCAGGATTTTGCAGGATGCATAGGAAACTCCAAGCTCAACATGAGTTACAGAGAGCATTCTAGGCATCAGGATCAATAAGGGCAAAGATTTGCAGCCAGGGCAAACAATCCACATGAAGACCAGTGGTGCAGTGTTCTAACCAATAGGACAGGGAGATGGAAGGGTAGATTGGGTTCACCTTATGGATGGTTTTACAAGTCCAGTTAAGCAGCATGGACTATATTCCGTGGGCAATAGGGAACCAATGGGAGGGATTTTGTTGTGGATTGGTTGGGTTTTACTTTTAATGATGCGGTTAGTATTATAGACAAAATGTCCCACAGTGGTGTCAAGAGAGAACTAAAGAAGCACAATGGGGTAGCTATGAGCTGATCATGTCGGCAGAAAGATGGCAAAGAGGCTAATAAAAGGCTCAAAGGATTTGGTGGTTGTTTAGACAGTAACTGAGCACCTACTATATATCAGGTACAGTAGTAGGTGCTAAGGTTTTAAAAAGCCTCTCCCTTCACAGTGTTTACAATCTAACTGGAGGCATTAATTAGGTTATCTGAGGGGAAGGAGAGCTGTCATGGAACACACAGGATGGCTCCTAACCCACACCTAGAGGTAGGAAAGGCCCACTAGGGGGAGTGACACCATCTAGCCTGACTACGAAAGATGAGGAAGAATTAGCCGGGTGAACTGGGAGCCCTTGGTGCTCTGCTGGATTGCCTTTACCTTACCTGCAGGTGCCCCATTTCCCAGATGCTATGAATTGGCTGCTAATAAAGCTCACAGCTGCCCTCTTCTTGAGAGATTTGCACTCACCCAAATGAAAGGCTATGCTATATGCCCACCTCCCCAGGAGATTTCAGCCAACGACTGGCTCTGACACAGGGAAACCAAAGGTCAGCTCCCCTGCCTCAGGATGGACCAACCCTGTGGTGTAATCTATGACTCTTAGCACCCACTCAGAAGCCAGGTGAAGCTAGTCTCCATTTGAGACACAAAAAGCCCTCTGTGACTCAGCTCTTATTCTGTTCTGCCAAAGTCTCCTCCATTACCTACTTGAAGATTTTCGCTTCAGTAAAACTAAACCCCCCACAGTTCCCCTTCCTTCACTATGTGGTTCCAAGCCTCTGACTGACTTTTCTTGGAATAATCTTCCCAACTTTCTTGGCCTGGCCAATTCACCTCAGACATCACTGCCTCCAGGAAGCCCTCCCCAAACCTGGAGGGGCACCTGGAATCCCTCTTCTGAGTTCCCATCATTCCCTATACAAACCTTAGCACTTAGATGATATCATATTAAAATTATGTTTATATGTCTGCCTCCCCTAGGACCTTACAAACTACTCATGGGCGGGAACTCTATCTCGTTCACTTTTGCTCCCCTAGTCTACGGCATGCTGTTTGACCTGGCAAGGGCTCCAAAAACATCTGCTGACTTTATAATGTCTCATTTCTCACCCCAGCACAGGCCGACACCGAGGCAGAGACGAGATGTGGAAGCAAGAAGGGCTGATATGGTCCAATTGCTGTGCCAGGCTATTAGCCCAAGGCAGCTTAATAGCTATCGATCCTCTGCTTCTGGCCAGAGACAAAGGACCTCTTCCTGCAGCCTGAATCACAGAATGGTCCATGGAAGGGACCCTGAAAGACTTCTAAACCTCTTGTCTTCTAACCTGACCTACTGAAACCCGCAATAAGGTTGCTTAATCGAAAAGGAAGGAATGTTGGGTTTCTTTGCTTTTGATAGGAACCGTGTCATTTTGTCACTGGAACACTGATTATTGGGCACTTACCAGAACCTAAATCACCAACGATATACGTGTTTACTGAACACTGGGAAAAGAAATCATTACTTAAGAAATATGGTTTGAGAAGCTAAACCTGTGAAAGCACGCAATCTAGCAGAGCCTCGTGACAGACTCGGCACGGATAGTTTGAACAGACTGGAGCATCACCACACAGGTCCGTTCTGCGGTCTGTCATTTCACTGAGGCACACATTGTACGGTGTGTGACAAAGCCTGGGAACCAATGACACCTGCACTGGTCAAGCCCTTGTTTTCTATTCAAAGTCACATACCCAGGAGCCCTTGTGAAATGATTTTAAAAACTAGCCACACCTGTGTTTCCTCCTCTGCGTGAGGAAAGGAAATGCACTGTCCGTGTTACCACAGTAATGATGTAACATAATGCAATCTAGAGTTTATTTTAGACACAGCATTTGTTTTAATGATTTTGTAAATGACTCTCATCCTGTATTTCAGAATCATTAAGGCTATGAAGAGGTCATATGCATCTGCCTGCTGTATGGCGTTGTATTTAGTGAGAAAAACTAGATGCCACACTGGCTATTTCTAAATGTGGGTGTCTGCAGATCTTTTGGGACATATCCCTCAGGAAGGGCAAGAGTCCACAGGACAAAGGGGATCTGGGGTGATCAAAAGACTGACTTTCACCGCTCCATCACCACATACTCATTTCACAGATGAAGAAACAAAGCCACGAAGGGCACACAGTGGTTTTCTCAAGGTCATTTAGTGGATAGCACTGGGGCTACGATTAGAACCCAAAGTTATTCACTTCGAAGCAAGAACTATTTCTACACTGCCTAAATGATAACTAATTAGAACCTGTAGAGGTGGGTTAAGGACAGTCGATAGGAAACAATTGTAGGGGGAGATAAGGTATCGTTGATGAAGTTCCACATTTGGATTATCTCTTGCAGGTTTTTATTCACAGAATCAGTCTGCTGCCCCAAACCATCCGCACTGTTCATAAATCTGCTCTCAAAAAATGTTTTCCTCAAACAAGTGAAAATGATTTTTCTAAGTCATCTTTTTTAGAATTTTGGGGAAGTTTAGTGTTGCCGACTTGATAGTCTTTAACCTGTACTTATCAGATTTATAATCACTCTTAGGTTGTTTTTAGCACATCGCATAAAAGGAGGACCAATACCCTTGAGGTGGGAGTGTGGGTTGGCATACATAATGGGCCCCAGTTGGTTCTTTATTCATTTGTGAACTGGTTTATTTTTGGTAGTTCAGTGAATACGGGGTTTTAATGAGTTTGCTCTGCAACCTATGTTTAATCTTACCAAGATACAGAACGTGAATGATATATGAGGACAAATGAAGTCCCCAAGGTGATAAATCGTATGCTATACTGTTACAGTGCATGATTTACAAAGACACCCCCATCAATTAACTGACCCAGTCACTCCTTTTAATGGATTATCTTCCCATCTTTGCAAGGCTGTTACTAGCACTTTGAGTCCCTTTAAAATATTCTGTATTTAATTTGGGACACCTTCAAAATTCAAGGATTCTGGGGGTGCTTGGAGGATAGCCAGAGACCATCACTGAGAATGATTAAAGGGAAATGGGATAGGAGAGTGCTGAGCATAACATGAAGGGATATCATTTCCAGAATGGTAAATAACTTGCTCTTCTCCAAAAAGTTCAAAGCCAGAAGAAATGGGCTCAAATCATCACCAGCGGGAATGAGCCTGGACATAATGCACAATGTGCTGGCGCCGGGACAAGCACACACAGGAGCCTTTGAAGTCCCTTCCTTAGGTAAATGTGGCAGGTGCAGAAAACATGGCCAATGAGCTAAAACTTGTTATTCTTCAACTTAAACTGTACCAAAGAAAAAATGAAATCTCAGTTGGATTGCAGAAGATTAATTAGGTAAGGAGCGGAAAGGAAGTAATAAAAATCAGGTAACAGACTAAAGAGAAATCGAATATATTTTAAAGCTGTGCTCATGGCACTGAAGCATAGCCTTGAAAATTAAATCCACTCCTGGGGCGCCTGGGTAGCTCTCAGTTAAGCATCTGCCTTCGGCTCAGGTCATGATCCCAAGGTCCTGGGATTGAGCCCTGCGTCAGGGTCCCTGCTCAGTGGGGAGCCTGCTTCTCCCTCTGCCCCTCCTCTCGCTGGCTCTCTCTCTCTCTCTCTCAAATAAATAAATAAATAAAAATCTTAAAAAAAAAAGAAAATTAAATCCACACCTAATCCAAAATTTTTGTGTTATTTTGGTATTTTAAATCTCTCCCCTGGCCAATCAACTGAAATTGATTTATTTGAATTTAACTTCTTTCAAATTGCTCCTTCTCAGAAAGCCTAATTAACAGGGTAATGGGATTTAAAAAAAAAAGAAAGAAAGAAAAGATGGAGTCTGATAAATTTCTAGGCTCAATTCCAGAGAGTTCACCGCAGATGGCTTCTCAGTTCTCTAGACTTTTTATTAGGTGATGATGGAAATCCTCATTTGAAGAATTATGGAATAGTGCATCTCAAAATTTAATGTGCATATAAATACGGAGGGATCTCGTTAACATGCAGATTCTGATTCAGTGCGTCTGGGGTGGAGCCTGAGGTTCTGCATTTCTAACCAGCTCCGATGTTGCTCCTGCCACTGGTCCAGGGACCACATTTTGAATTACCAGCCTCCAGATTTATACTGTTCGATGCAGATATTGAGCCCCTGCCATGTGGCTAGTGTGAATTGAGATGGGGTGTTAGTATAAAATATACACTGGCTTTCAAACACTTTAACATGAAAAAAAAAAACTGAAACAGCTCAAGTTTTAAATTGGTTGCATGTTGAAAAAATACTTGGGGTATAAAATATCTATTATTAAGATTCATTTCACCTGTTTCTGTTTACATTTTTAATGGGGCTACTAAAAATTTAATTTCATGTCATTCATATTATATTTTATTGGACAGTCCTAGTTTAATTTATACACAAATAGATATGGATCATATATTGTTAAAATTACAGGATCATTTCTAGAGATCCTTTACAGATTAAGACTTTTTTTTGGTTTGACAAGTTTCATGTTGACTTTTTTAGCTCATGTAGTAATGACATAAGATGAGAAATACCCTCACTCCTCAGAAAAGACACCTTTCTTTGGCTAAGCCCAGTGAAAGGCAACATTTTCAGATAATAGTGTGGGTGAGACCTGGGGCGCCATGGCACCAGTGTACCAGCTCGTTCTCTCTCTCGATGGCCTCGCCGAGCTCGGGTGGCCAGTTGCAGTTCTGTTCCTGCTCCATGAGGAAGTCCACACTCTGCCATACCAGCTCCTGATCTGAGGGCTTGAGGTGCTCGTGGTAAGACAGAAGCATCTGGAGAATGGACGACAAGCCATGAGCTGCTCCTGTATCAAGAAACAAAGCATACTTAATTCACACAATTGGGAGGACAGCCCATTTAATTTAGTGAAAAGATAATCACGGTATAAAAAAAATGAATGGCAGTATTACTTGAAAGCAGACACAGTAAATTCAACTCCATAATGGTAAAGCTTTCTCTTTGCACTCAGGCCCTTGGAACTCCCCCCAAATGGCCTTAGGTTTTAGCCAGTCAAAAACGATTCTTCTGGGGCCCCTGGGCAGCTCAGTCAGTTAGGCGTCCGACTCTTCGTTTCAGCTCAGGTCGTGATCTCTGCGTCGTGAGATCGAGTCCTGCGTTGGGCTCTGCACTCAGCGGGAAGTCTGATTGAGATTCTCTCTCCCTCTGCTCCTCCCCACCCCCCTCTAATAAATAAAATCTTAAAAAAAATTCTTCCTAAAATTTAGTCATAATACTTGAAGGTACCTTTCTTTTACTGGATTTTAATTAGGTAAAAAAGCTTTCCAGGAAAATATTTATGCATTAGATAGCAATCTGGTTTGTGCTATACATGTGAACGACTAGAATGTTAATTTCTCTAAAAAGATGGAAAATGAAAGGAATAGTTCTATTAAGAAACTCTAGCAGACACTGCCAGTGCCCTGCCCATCACCTCGCCCACACTCACCATTCTGGGGCACCTCTCCTCCCCAGCTTCTACCTCAAGCATTTATCCTTCTGCCTGAGGCTTTCTCTGGCCACAGGGGTATGCCCAGCCCACAGGGACAGGACTGAGGTCCTAGGGAATTAACAGGTCTGGGAACAGCCCTCGACCCAGGAAGCAAGGAGCTGGTGGATGAATACCCCAGCTTCCTCACCATTGGGGTGGGGCAATTCTGAGGGATGTTCTAGACAGTCTTCAGGGTCCCCAGTGGAACAAAGCCTCAGTTATCCACAGCTGTTCACCATTACATCCTCTATTAACCTCTTTCTCTACCCTCACTTCCTCAGTCCTTTATCAACACTTTCTAGGATCACCTCCCAAATAAGCCATTTATACCCAAATCCTTGTCTTAAGGTCTGATTCTAGAGAAAGATAGGAACTTAAAGGTTCTTTGAGAAATCTCTCAGAGAACTACTAGTCTATAAGCTCATTGCTGAAGTTGGGTACCCTCATTAGGTACAGGCTGTTGGTAAATGTCCGGGGATCACAAAGATAAGTGAGCAAAAGTCCTCATCCTGAAGGTGCACAAAGCCCACTGAGGCAGCTGGACAGGCAAACCACTAATTACAGCGTGAATTGATAAAGGCTCCAATAAAAGCATGGCAGGATGACCTGATATGAACCAATTTTGCTTCAGGGTAAAACCTGAAACATGTGAATGTTTCTCCAGAGAAGATTTTCTTTTTTTTTTTTTTAAGATTTTATTTATTTGACAGAGAAAGACACAGCGAGGGAGGGAACACAAGCAGGGGGAGTGGGAGAGGGAGAAGCAGGCCTCCCGCTGAGCAGGGAGCCCAATGAGGGGCTCCATCCCAGGACCCTGGGACCATGACCTGAGCCGAAGGCAGACGCTTAATGACTGAGCCACCCAGGCGCCCCATCCAGAGAAGATTTAATAAAACCTTTTTCCAAAAGCACAAAGTTTCTCAATAGCTCTGATGATGTTTGATCAGCCTTGAAGTCTAGGTGTATTACAGATAGTTGAAAGGGTTGGGGGAGGCCAGGCATTCTGGGCAAAAGGAACAGGGACAAAGATTTTGAAGATTTGAGAGCACTTTGCTTGTAGGAGATTATACAGGACAGAACCAGAAAAGGGGGAGAGACGGAGCTTGAGTTTGGAGAAAGGAGCAGGTGATCTACAAAGGGCCCTGTAAGTCATGCTCAGGAGTGATGGGGAGCCACTGAAAGACTCAAAAGGGGAGTAACCAATTTTCACTCTACAGGCCTCATGTCTCAAAAGTAGCCATTATGACTTAGTAGTCTGTTATTATTATTATTATTATTTAAGATTTTATTTATTTATTTGACAGAGAGAAAAACAGCGAGAGGAAACACAAGCGGGGGAGTGGGAGAGGGAGAAGCAGGCTTCCCACCAATCAGGGAGCCCGATGCGGGGCTCGATCCCAGGACCCTGGGATCATGACCTGAGCCGAAGGTAGCCCCTTAACCGACTGAGCCACCCAGGCATCCCAGTAGTCTGTTATTAATCCACTAATATTTAAACACCTGAAAATCTCAGTGGCTTCATCCTGTTTCCCTGTACAGAGGCACCATTGGCAATGAGTGTATAAACCGTTCAAAAACTTTTGGTGAAATTCAGCCAATGAACTCACAATCTAGAATAAGGATTTTAGTCTTTAGGGAAAGCAATCATCAAAATAGCTACCTTTCTGTCAGACTATGAGAACAAACATTAAATTGTGATTTGTAGTATCTATCAATATTCGTTTTTAAATGGCATTTTAAAGTATTTCTAGTTAAATGAATAGTGATGACCCAAAATCAAAATCTTCTAGTTTTTAGTCAGTGCGGGTATTAAGAGGACTTTGCCAACACTTTCACTCACCCAAGTATTCAGTTCCATAGTAAGAATACATCAGGGGGAATGGTTTCCTTTTTTTCATGGCATACTGCTTCCCAGAGTCCAGAATCGCCTGGCAAATTGATTTGATCTGTGCTGGGGTCAGTACCTGAGTAAGGAAATCAAGAAGCAGAAGTCAAATCAGGATCTTCTTTTTTTTTCCACAGACACTGGATTTTCTCCTTAAGGTCCATCAGCATATTCCCCAAATCCTTTTCCTCTTATGTAAATAAGCTTAGCCAGTAGTAACTTTTTGTTTTTAAACAACTGATTCACTTTTTGTTGTCAAGTTTATCCACCCTCTTCAGAAAATTTGCTGTGTTGATGGGAAATACACATTTTTATTGCCCTAGGCTTCTATAAAATGCAAAGACCACTTTACCACGGTTATATCATTAATCCTTGTCACGGGAACAAGAAATTGCACAGAGAACAAAGACTGGGCCTAACGGATCATGCTTAATAAAGCTGTCACCCCCAGTGTGTGGCGCAGGTCTGGCCCAGACAATGGGCCTTCGGTCTGTGTCATTTAGACTGTGCTAATAAAGCACAGCTGCATGACAGACTCACGGTAGCCTCTGCACTCCCAGAACGAAACCAAAGTCCAGTAAGTACCAAGACAAAATCACTTGCAATATCAAAATGACTCTGAATAGAGAATGGCTAAAATGCAATGACTTGCAGTCTTCCATATTTTACTCAATCTACCCACAGTCCATTCTTAGGACCCTAGAGATGAAAAAGTCCTCAAGCCTACAAAGCAGTGTTGAGTTTATTAGGATTCTGCTTAGGTGTGAGAGGTTCCTCAGGGCAGATGAGATGCTCCCAGCTCCCTCTGGCCCACTCCTTCTACCTCACCATGACTCTTTGGGGGAGCACTTACCACCTGGGGTGTTATGTCTCTGTCTCTGTCTCTCTCTACTAGACAACCAAGATGCCACAAGACTATGGCATCTCCCCTTTTTGGTATCCTCAGTACCTAACACAGAACCTGAGGGGGCCTTTGGGAATAAATAAGTGCCAGGTTTTTACTGGCATGAAAAGCAGAGCTCTCCCTCTTTCCCTTCCTTCCACAATTATTTCTTAAGCCTCTACTATATAACAGGAAAGCTGTTCTAGATGTTGGAGGTATGACAATGAAAAGATTGACAAGACCTCTGCTCTCATGAAGCCAAACTTCCAAAAACGCAGACCTGGTCCAAAAAAGTACCAGTCAGAATAACCATGGCCACTGCCCGCCCCCCACCTGCCCCTCCAAAAATCACCTGAAGTTCAGCCTTAGATTGAATGAATCTAAGATCAAAGAAAAGTCCATTGGATTTTGGCCTCTCTCCTCACACATCAAGTCTTTCTGCCTGATATCTACCATTATACTCACCAATTCCTTCTGAAATAAAGTACTAATGATTTTTTTTCTTTTTCTCTCCCTCCCACCCTTTCTTTCCCTTTCTTTCTTTCTTTCTTTTCTTTCTCTTTCTTTCTTCCTTCCTTCCTTCCTTCCTTTCTTTGCAGGGTTTTGCTCCTCTGATATACACAACACGAGAAAGGCAAAATATAATCCAGATTTTGGCCTCCTCAAATCTAACATTTAATTTGGGAAATTAATTACATAAAGAGGAGGTTGTTCATTAATTAATTCTGCCAATTAACACTTCCTGAGTTACTATTCCAGTGAGGCCCTAAACTCGGTATTATGGGAGAAATTCTAGGAAACCCAGGACATATTTTTTTCTTACAGGGAACTTACTATCCAGCACTGGAGATGAGATGTAGCCAGAAGTCTACCATAGAACAATTTAAGTTCATGAGCCTAAGGGTGGAAAGAAAGTAATGCAGAGTATGTAACACAGACAAGGAAGCACTGTTCAGCTTCACTAAGACTTTACTATCTCGTTTTCTATCTGGTTGCTCAGAAACAATGATGTCGTGGCTTTCAACTTAAATTTTCCTTCTTTTAGCAACCTATCTCTGTCTCTTGGCTGTACTCCTCCTTTCTGCCTAAAATTCCTGAAGACTCTTATCTTCCCAGACATTCCTGCCATCATTTCAAGGCTCAACCTTGGGTCTTTGCAGAGCTGAACAGCAAATTTCTCCTAAATGATTTCCTACCCTGCATCTACTCAAATTGCTACCCCAAATTTTCATTTGCTATTAAAAACACCTTTTCCTTTGTGCCTTTATCAGTGCCAACTGATCTTACATTGAGTCTCACTCTACAGAATAGCTTCCATCCCCAGTCCCATATCAACCCCTCCAGCCTGGCTTGCCCTCAGAAACATGCTAAGAGACTCGAATGGCATGGATTTCGTAGGACCCTGACCTGGTCCCAGCCCACATTTTCCTGGCAATATATCTGGCTCTTCAGATGAACTTAGGTCCTGTCTGCCAATATTGGTTCTGAATCCATATGACAAGAAACAGTTTTTGTGATAGGAAAAGATCACTGGGGTATGTATTCATTTGAATTACTAAAATTCTCCCTATTTTACTTCTATGCTATGAAATGAAAATCAGTTTATTTTTTCCTCGGTTGAGCATTTATTCATGTTCTGTGTGTGTGTGTGTATTTGTGTGTGTGTGTGTGTTCACCTGCTTGTTTTAAATGCAGGAAAAAAATCAACTTAGATTACATGTGGTGCTCTCTTCCTTTCTTTCCATCCCTAACCCACAGCCTAGAATAGGGCACGAGTTTATAAAGTATTTCAAAACCTCCCCAGTCATGCATCATGTCTGCGTGGTTTCCTCCTATCTCTCGGGAACACTGTGAAAAACAAAGAAAAACCGTGCTAGTTTGGCTAGATAAAGACCAGTTATGCATGCAGTTCTTTATCTCTGAGAACAGACAAGACCGACCCTTGGGTTTATCGATCAGCAGATACAAAGTGAAAACAGCGCTTATCAAAAGTGTGTGGAGGAGGAACACTGAGGAAGAGAGTGCTGTTTCTTTCCCCCTGAGCAAATAGCACAGAAAGAAGAGATGCGGTGGGAGGGGCTCATCCTTCCCTCATGTGTCTGCTTTCTCAGGCGTTGCGCCGTCCCCGAGGCAGCACACAGGAATGAGCTCATGAGCACACACACTATGTCTGAGAAGGTGGCCTCCGTGTGCTTCTGAAACACCGAGGCCCAGGGAACGAGGAAGTGGCATTTCCAGTGGGGGGAAAAAGTGACAGGATGGCAGAGAGGGGCTTCCTGCCCATCAGGCCTCTACCAAAACAAACCCAAATTCCCTCTCCTGTATTTGTAGCACCTAAGGCCTATGTGTGTGTTGGTATCTTGGATGGATCTGGTTCTTTAAGTAAACTGTTTTCTACACTGACTTAAAATAAATTATGATAATGCAAGAATGCAAAGCAAGGCCGTGGTGGCTTGATTTAAAGTTTTGTTAGTTTAACTGATTCCCTTCACCGATCCTCAAACAGAGGTGTCTGTGGTGGGCTCTGGGTTTGAAGAGCTGAGAGATAAAGCCCATGCTATGCTTCTTGGCCCTACCCGAGGGTTGTGTGGTAACTGAACCATCTCCATGCCAAGGAGAGAGTTTCATTAAGGAAACGGATGATGTGACCCAAGCCACACAAACCTTCCTTCGCCACAGACCTCTTTCCCAGGCAAGTGTCCCGCCCACAGGCCCTCTGAAGTGGCAGCCTTTGCTAGCTATAGATCAACCACGGCCAACGTGATCAAGCAATAGTCCAAAATGTCCTACGTGTGTGACTGCTCATCTACGTGGAATGCAGAAAGCCACGCCTATGTCACACCAAACACATAGTAAGAATCTGATATTAATGGAGGCGTTTCCTCCAGCAATTTATTTGACCTCAATTCTTTGTCTACCACCATATGTGGCCGCACAGGCTTCTGTTCAGAGAAAAGAAACAAGCCATTTGACTACCAATGAACATCAAAATGACTTGATGCCCATGGACAATAGCTTTGAGGAAAAGGCTTTTGAGCTGTCAGAACCTGGGTATTTTCGAACTTCAAATTGATGCCATAAAGAATACACTTGAAGGACACAGAGAGTCAGGATGGAACTAAAAGCTGTTCAAGGTATGAAAAGCTGACACAGAAAGGAAACCAGGAAGTTGAAAGTCAGTGTGGAGTCCCTGCTCTCCTTCCTACACCCCCTTGTGCCGAGCCTTAGGAGAGATCCTATAATCCACTGGATAGGTTTGGGGATTTATAGGTAAGCTAGGATGTGTGCCCTCTGCTCCCTCCTGGAATTGGGGAGATGGAAGCCTCAAAGATGTGTCTTTTGCCTCAGGGCCTAGGACCGGTAAAAGAGATAACACTGCATGGCACATCCCAGGAGAGAGCCAGAGACAATCCTAAGTTTCCTGTGCGCACCATGGTGAAGCAGGAAAAAAAATATCCCATCCCCCAAAGTAAACTTATTTTTAAAAATTCTCTGTCCAAATAATCTCAAACTAAAAAGTTAGGGAAACTTTTTTTTTTTTAAAGATTTTATTTATTTATTTGACAGAGAGAGAGACAGCACAAATAGGCAGAGTGGCAGGCAGAGGGAGAAGCAGGCTCCCCGCTGAGCAGGGAGC